TGTAGTCTACACACATTTGCCAGGTGCCATTCGGCTTTTTAACAAGCACCACATTTGCAACCCAGTCTGGGAAGTAACATTGCCGAATGAACCCTGCATCAAGTAATTTTTTAACTTCGGCGGCTGTCGCCTGACTTCTTTCTTCGCCATGGTTCCGCTTCTTTTGCCGTACCGGCTTCTTTTTTGGATCCACAGCCAGTTTATGTACCGCCAGATCAGGACTTATGCCTGGCATTTCATGGACTTTGAATGCAAAGATGTCCTTGTATTCTTTCAATAGTTTGTGAAAGTCGTCACCAAGGTCTCTCAGAGCAGTCGTCCCAACTTTGACTGTTCGGTCAGGACGTGAGTCGTCTAAGATCAGGTCCGCATGCTCACCAGCCGGCTGAGGGCGGAACTCATCCGACCGCTCCTCTGCCACTGATTGCTATTTTATTTCTTTTCTTGCGGCCTCTGTTTGGGATGCCTTTCTCTTCTTGCCGCCTGCTTCTTGAACAGGCGCACTGTCCTTGACATTGTCAAGGTCTGTTTTTTCACCGCTTGACCCAGTGGCCATAACAGTGGGCTTGATATCCGAGAGATAGCACTCTCGGGCCATCCTCTGATCTCCCCTTAGGGAGCCGACTGTTCCATTATCCCTCTAAAACTTGAGCAACATAAGAGATGGGATTATAACAGCCTTGGAATTATTCAGGGTTGGTCGACCCAGAATCATGTTGTAGGCCGAGAGTTCTTCTACTACCAGGAACCGGACTACCATGTGTCGTCCTTCCCCTTTTTCACCCAGGCGGATGGGTAAATCCACTCGTCCCAGTGGGTGGACGACTCCTCCTCCAAACCCTACTAAAGGGTGGGAGGCCGGATGTATGCAATCAGTCTGATATTTTAGTTTCGACAGACATTTGCTACTGATGAGATCTGAGGAGCTTCCGGTATCTATGAGGATTCGGCCAACTCTCTGGTTGGCCACTTTACATTCAATGACGATAGGGTCGTCATGCGGCCCTAATGATCTAATGGTTTAATAATATTCTTATTTCCATTTTCAATTCGGCATTACCCCTCCTAGATCTTCTTCAGTGATGACAATCTCAGGAAATGAATATTTAGACGGCCGTTCTTGGTGAACGGAATTTACATCTAACCGCCTGATATTGTCTTTGTTGCCCCTAATAGTGGGGCCGCCTCCTGAGAAGCCGCCTGCAATGGTGTAGACGACTGCATCATCTGTATCGGAGCTGTCGACCTGTTGATTCTTTTTGGCCGACTGCTTTTTTGAGGAAGTGTTCCCCGTAGATTTCTTGACATAAGTGTCAAGATCACCTTGCTCAACCAGGCGGCCCAGATACTGCATGAGACTGATGCAGTCATTGGTGTGATGACCAACATCATCATGATAAGCACATAATTTATCTTGGTTCCGGTTGTTTGCAGAACCCTTCATGGGGACCGGCTTCTCAATTGAGATCCGTCCCTTGATTTCTTTTAGGATAAACTGGTTATCCTTGTTAAACGCATACTTTGGGGAGTATGGCTTGGCTGTTTAGAGGAATCAGCCGCCCATACCTCTTTTCTCTTCTCATCTTTGTTTGACGATTGTTTCTGTCGTCCTTCTCTTTTGTCGAACCTTTTCCCGTCCGACTGTTTTATCGTACAAAGATCAGTCGCCTGTATATAGGCTTCTGCTTCAATCAAGGCCTCTTGAAGAGTCGCCACCCTTTTTCGAACCAAATCAAATTTGAAGGTAGACCCGTCTTTGAGACCTCTGAAAAAGTCAGTATAGGCTACCTCATCCGGTAACCCTTGAATCTGTATTCTCATCAGGTTAAACCGCCTGATGTAAGAACGTAGCCCCTCCTTCTCTCCCTGCTGAATTGTTCCTAAATCAAGGGTCGTTTTCTTCGCAGGGATGTTCATGGCGAAGTTGGAGGTGAATAAGTAAGCAAGCGTCCTGAAGCTATTTACACAACCAGTCGGCAGGTTGCCGAACCATTGTTGTGAGATTCCTTTGAGAGTCGCTGGGAAACACTTGCACCAAGTGGGATCATCCAACCCTTGAAGGTACATCAGGTTGGTGAATGCCATCAGATGGTCTTCTGGGTTAGTAGTGCCGTCATAGGCACCTACTAGTACATTTTTCACTTTGACCGGCTGAGCGGCTTCAGTAATTTCCTTGGAGAAGGCCGACGGCTGTTCACCAAGTCTAAGCAACCGTAGCTGCCAGTCCATAGGTTGTACGTTTTTTGCTGCAGGTCCACCAAACGGAGGTGGCTGCAAAAAATACTGTTGTTGTGGTACAGACGGTAAGTTTGGTACCGCCTGATCGCTATGAAAGCCGGACTGACGGGAGGTGCCGCCTGACTGACTCTCATGATACGACTGAGTATGCCTCATCGAGGCATTTCGCAGACTGCCTTGAAAGTTTGAAGTAGAGGCCGACTCTGACAATCGGTCACTCTTCTTCTGTTCTAGCAGTAGCCGAGCGTCTGTGAATGTTTGCTTCGACCCGTCCGCCTGAATATGACGAACAGGTTTCCTATTTCCTGTAGGAAAACGGAATTTTGTGAAATCAAGGGCAGGTGGCTCCCGCTTCCTAGATTTAGGATGAGGAGTCGCCTCTCGCCCTTGAACTGGCTTCCTCTTCTGTGAAGTGGAGGGTTTCTTAGCCGACTGCTCCTTGGCTGGAGCAGGCGTCTTCTTGTTGATCAACTCTTGAATCTCTCCCTTGAAGTCCCTCATGAAGGTCATGAGTTCGTTCCTTGTGATGGGAGCAGACCCATCAGTCGGCTGTTGCCGATCAGGCGGTGCGCCTGCTGGCTCACTTCCAGTTTGAAGATGTTCCCGTTCCCTCCTTTCGGTATGACGGGTGCGTCGGGCCCTTAGGGTCCCGTCTGAAGCTGTGTGAGCTTCAACTTCAAATTCACTCTCGGTATCATGGTCCGACTGAACTTGAGGGTCGTCTAGGGGACGCCTCTCTTCAGGAGTCGGTACAGACTTGGATGCCATCTCAGAAGTACTCTCCCCACAGACGGCGCCAAATGTTTCGGGGTTTTCTGATGTCCTGCGGGAGAGTTACAATTCCGAGACTGGAAACGGACGCCTGTACCTGCAAAATAACGGAGACTCCTGGGAGCTCCGCCTCCAACGGTCAAGTTAGTACTTGATTAAGGAGTAATTAATGCGGAAATTAAAGTGATTAGGTCTCTCTAGGTGAGAGTGTTTAATGTAGGTAATCTGCTTTGTTAGCGAGATCAACCGGTTATTACTGTGTGTAATTAATGTGTTTTTTCGTTTTTTTCCTTAATGAGGATTAAGGGAGGTATTTATAACCTTGGGAAACGTGCCCATCCTAGGTTTAGGTTAACCTAGGGCCGATTGGGCTTCCCTCGGAAGTTGGGCCTGGGTGGCCGGTTTCTCCATTAGGCATGGAGTATGCCACATGTCATGACATAACAGGTCCAAGGTGGACGAATAAGCGCGTGCCACGTGGCAAGCCCTGACAGTTCCAACTGGGGGACACTTGGCAGGACCTGATTGGTCCACGTGGCGCATTCCGATTGGTGGGAGCAAAATCCCCTAATCAATTAAAATAGGCTAATTTAATATATTTTACCCAAAATAATTAAATTTAATTAATAGTCAAATCAACCTAGGTCAATATATTGACTTTTGACCCGTATAAGATCCGATGTGGCACTTACATAAAAGTTTCGTGCCTTTAGGGACCAAGATTGTTAGGATCGGGATCCTACCTTGGATCAATGAGGGGGAATGAGATCGAATTGATAGAATCGGATCGTAAGATCCTACTTAATAACGAATAATATTATATATTATGCTATAAATTGACTTAAAAACATTTCTTTTAAGGGGTTTCAATGCTAAAAGACATTGGTTTGCTTAAGAAAGGTCGATCTTTATTTAGCTTTGTCTGTATGGTAGTTAGAAGATTAATAACACAAGTTTAAATTAATAAATTATGTGCAAATTTGTCAAGAATGAGACCTTAACTATGACAATTGCAAGTTGTCAATTGATAAAATCGTATTAATGTCTCGGATTCGCTAATTTATTAGCGATAATTATTGAATACATTAAATTTAGGTGCATATAACCTAATGAGTAATAAAAATTATGTCAAAATAAATCAAAGTCTCATATTATAGTAGAATGTTGGATCGGATCGTAGGATCGTAATAAAATCGTAGGATCGTGTTGAGATCCTACCACCCATAATTAATATTGGAGTAGGATCGTAAGATCCTACAAACTTTAAGATCCTACCAAAGATCCGGATCGATCTCACAATTTTAGATCGTACAATCTAAGATCCGGATCGGGATTTTTACAAAACAATGAGATGCTCCCTTGAAATCTTGTGGAACTTGGAAGGGATATTCATGTGAATGAATACTCAAGATATGTAAAGTGGATTTATTTCATACTTATAGGTTATAATATAATACACTTCCGAAATATTAAAATTGAGTAAATAAGAATTTTATTTTTAGAATTTATTAGTCTTGTTAAAATAAACTGAATATTAACTAAAATAAGTAAAATTTAGGTTAACAAAAACAAACCCTAAATATAAATTAGGTTAATAAAACAAATTTTAAAATTTATTTGAAAAAAATAAACCTTAAATTGACCTTGAACCCAAACCCGAACCATACCCTTCGTTCAATCTAGCCAACCCAAATGTAAAACCTCCCTCCTAAAACCAACCTCTCAAGTGAATGAAACAAATCAAACAATAAAAAAAAAAAGTTCACCAACGACAAACGGCAAGCAGAGAGAACAGGCAAATACGGCACACCAAGACCACAACACCTTCAACAACTCATCACCCAATTCCAAAACTCCATTATTTCCAACGAATCCAAAGAAAAAATCGTCGCTAATCTCGCTAACTTCTCCTACGATCCTTACAACTACGCCATTCTTCGTGACCTCAACGTTTTAGAGCTTTTCATCGACTGCTTAACTGAGCCTAATGAACGTCTCATTGAGTTCGCTGTCGGCGGAATCTGCAACGCCGTTGCTGACCCACAAAATGCTAAGATAGTTTGTGATTGCGGCGGTGTTGCGGCGTTGATTGACTGTCTTTCGAGTCCGGTGAGGAATACGGTCAAGTATGCGATTGCGGGGTTGTATTATTTTGTTAATTTGGTTGATTTGAAAGAGAAGGAAAATGTGGTGGATTTGATTAGTAAGTATTCTCAGGTTGATGGGTTTGCTAATCTTGCTCAGGCTTTGTTGGACAAGATTTCGGAAACATGAATTTCATGTTGAGGTAAATTTTTATCCCTCTTTTACTATTTGGTAGTAATTTCAATGGTTTTATATTGTGTTGAAAGTTTGATTTTGGATTTGAATTTTGTTATAGTTAGTTGAAATTTATGATGATTTTGTGGGTTTAGGATGTTTGAAATTGTGGGATTTTTGTGGGAAGTTTGATGGTGTTGATTTGGTTGATTTCTTTGTGAATTTGATTTCTGGGTATGAATAATTAGGGCTTGTACGTTAACGGTAAAGTAAACCTGATTAGTTTAAGATCGTAAGACAGCTTGGTAAAGGTGGCTTTGCTTATGTCTTTTTGGTCAAAGAAGTTGTTACCGACGCTTCTGCTGCTTCTGGGGGTCTTTCTAATAAGCTTAAAGATCCTTCTTTTCTCTCAGGTTTCTTTCAATCTACTCAATTTTAATTCTTTGCATGTTTAATTGTGATCTTATTCTGAAATGGGGTTTTGGAGGTTGTGGGTGATATTACTTTTGTTTGTGTCAATTGTGTGATTGTAAAGAGAGTCGCGAAGGACAATGATGTAGACGGGATGCGATTCGATCCCATCTCTTGGGTACCACCCCCGAGACTTTAATTAAGGGATTGTGTGAGGTTGATATTGTATGAATTATGGGATTTTGGGGGAGTTTGCTAATTTTTTATTGATTTGAGTTTTGATTTGTGGGTTTATGATTTATGAGGAATTTTGATCTTAATATGGTTAACAATGTACGAGTTGTGTTGAAAGTGTGATTATTTATTATTTTTTGTCTGTTTGATTTTGATTTCTTGATATGTGATGTAAATTGGAAATGAGCTTTGTTTTAGATGATGGGTCTTATGCTATGAAGAAAGTATTGATTCAAAACAACGAGCAGCTGGACTTGGTGAGGGAGGAGATCCGTGTTTCCTCCTTGTTTACACATCCCAATCTGCTTCCCCTTCTTGATCATGCTATCATCAAAGTCAAGGTAATTGACTGCGTTTAGGTCCTTCGCTTTTCCCCTCCCTTGAGCTTTATATATGTTATTAATCCGGAATACAAGGTGTTGAAACTTGAAAGCATGTATGCATGTATATAAATAAGTAAAGTAAAGTATTTTGAAACCACAATTAATTATAAATCCAGTGTAAGGTTTTTCCAATACTTCCTGGAAGCTGCTTTAATCATGTTTGGAAATCGTAATCATGTTTGGAAATCGGAATAGAGTTGGGGAATTCATCATATCTATTGAGCTAGTAGGACTGTTGTTTGGGTAGAAAATGTATTCATTTATATTGTTTAGGAATGGATTTTGTGTGAGTCAATTAATCCTTTGCCAACTGCAACCTTTATAGAGATGCCTCAGGGATGCCAAACTCTATGACACTTATTTTAGTCTTATCTTACTTCTATGCAATTATGCATGGTAACTGTTCCAGAAATTATTCATTAGTGATTCTTCTCTAACCCGTAGACTGCAAAAGTTCTTAATGCTCGTCATCCAAGTTTTGTTGTGCTCTTTTAGTTCTTTTAGTATTACTTGTTCGTCTCTGAAGGAAAACTAATTAAATGTCCGACTATCTGAGAGGTGCTATCTTACGACCCCCTCCTCCTCTCAGTCTCTCTTTATCTTTCGTGGGGTTGTTTGCTCAAAAATAGAATTTATGGGAGTTACTATCGTGTAGTAAACAGGGTTACAGGGTTGTGATCTATTGCCCTCAGATTTAATGTCTGTCATGTGGGATTTAAGAGGAGAAAACATTGGCTCATTGATAGACTAAATTTTCTGGCTTCTTTTAACATCATTTGATGATCTTATCTTATACTCATTCCTTCCTTGGCAGGAGCAGTTGGGCCTGAAAATTTTTATATAGTCATAGGATAAGCACTCTACCCTCTTCAACTCCATTTTTTTCTGTCAAAATTTACATCTATAATCACATCTCAAGTCATGGTTTTACTTTTTTCTACATGTTAGGTCATGATGGTCAGAGTTTTGAACTTCTTGTAATATTTCTATTTTGATTATGGGAACTAATAAATCAAGAATTCCAAGATTCATTTCCTGGACTACGGTGACAGTTTTCTCTTTTAACAAACTGTGAAGTGTTTTCGGGTTTAGAAAGTAACAATCCATATGTAAATCAATGTTGATGTCCATTTCTAGTGTTGTTTCAGAAATTAAAAAGGACGTCTCTATCTTTGGCTAGTGCATGTTGATATGCTTGAGAATTCAAACTTAAAAAGTGTTTTCTTAAACAAATATACGAAGTATAATGCCATCAGTGGGATTGCTTGTTTATTAAATTATTATAGGTTTAATTGTAGGGACTGTTCTGTTCCCTTGATAATTACTAATTGTGTAACTTTTGAGATATTAAGTGTATCCAATGAAAATGAAGTTAAAGGTAAGTAAACAGGCCCATGTGGAATTTTCGGAGCTTTATAGTCTTTCTCAATGTGCAAACAATTGCATGTTCATCACTTCATCAGCTTTCTGTTCTTGCCCTTGGTTGCTGACTTGCTTTATAATAAAGTTGCTGATCATGATTTCAACCTTGTAGCGTTGTAATGTTCTCAGTTTTGCAGATTGTGCATCTGTATATTCATATCTAAAAGTGTCTTTTAATTATTTGTTTGCACTGATTAGGCCACTCAAGAACAATCTTGGAAACATGAAGCGTACCTGTTATTCCCAGTTCATTTGGATGGAACTTTGCTGGACAACTTAACTGCTATGAAATCTAATGAGGAGTTCTTTTCGATTGTGGATGTCCTCCAAATATTTCGTCAGATGAAGTAGAATTGCATTGATTAACAACTTTCTGAGCATATTATAGCAGTTGCCTGAAGATCCTCTGTTCTAGAGAAAACTTGTGGCTTCTTATGTTCTCGTGTTTTCTCGTTCTTTATAATTTTCTTACTATGATGCAAGTGATAGTTTAAATAGTGAATAGCCTTTTTCTTGAGATTCAGCATGAGCATCAATGCTAGAGATTTTGACTTTCTTACTTGGTACAATCTCTACTTTTTTAGATGATATGTTTTGTCTTTTGACACTATCCACAAACTGTACTTTGACTAACTTTTATGGATTATAGTTCAAAAAATACAGTCATGTGGGGTCTTATTAGATTCCTCTTAACTTTTTTATTTATTTATTTTTTTCAAAATATCAACTTTTTGTAATTTTTACTTATTAAAATTAAAGATTTTGTGATTGAACTTTTGCGTTGGCAAACGGGGTTAAAGAAACGTTTCAACTAAAATAGAATGGAAAAAGGAATGAAGTATTAGTTACAAACTGTGCTATTAAACCCTCATTACCTTTTCCTCATTTTCTAATTACCGAACTTGCAAAAACTATAGATTTTATGACCCAATCGACATATTGTGCTGTGCATAGGTTTGTAATTTTGTATTGAAATACATGTTTCTCAGCTTTGTGCAGGACTGAAGCACATGCATCATTTTGATCCTCCATATGCACATAATGATGTCAAACCTGGGAATATTTTAATCACACACAAAAAGGGTCAGGCACCTCGGGCTATATTGATGGACTTCGGAAGTGCCCGTCCTGCTCGAAAGCAAATTCAGTCGCGTGCAGAAGCTTTGCAGCTTCAGGTGCTTTCTTTTTTTTACCAATCATTTTCAATCCCTGTTCTTCTATCAGTTTTTATTTCATGTATATTTTGTTCATATTTCTCATAAGTAGCTGATGTTGAATGAGACCTCTTGTTAGTTTTTTCCCTTGAAGTTCTTACATTGATATGACTTCTTGTGACACTTTGAAGCTTTTAAATCACCTCTAGGGGATCATTGCTCTCATGATCTAACCTTCTTTAATTTTTCCAAAGCTGAATTTATAGGATAACTGAAGTCTAAATTACATCACTAAATCGTCTTTTGTCTTCTTGCTGAGGCAACTGTCTTTATTTCTTTGAAGTTGACCATTGAATTGTTCATATTATTCCATGAGTTGTAACTTTATATATTAAAATTTTCGAGCACCTCCTGGGTCCTGGCTTTATGCTGAAGTGGGATGATTTTATGATGTCAATGTTTCCATTTAATCAAATTAACCTTTGGAGCTGTCTAGTAAATGTGCATTAGTGTCTTTTTTGGGAATATCAGTAGGCATAGTAGCCCAATCTAAAGGTGCTCATATGATATGTTACAAATGGAATGTAGTAGATCATGGCATCAAGCTAAAGCAAGAAGCCAAGCTAACCTATACAACTATCTGGAGTTAGGCTATTTAGAGTAGACCCTTGACCAAATTCATGCTTGTCTCAAATTGTCTAATATGAACATTTTGTGCTGTGTAACAGCATAAGCTATTGAGTTTTCAAACATTTGAAACATAAGAGAAGAGCTTCTTAAAGAGTGGAGTTATCTACTAGATTTACCTCCTTGTGGCAACAAAATATCAAGAAATTAATCTCTATTCTAGTTCTTTTGCATCTTCCATTATGTCCCCAACAAAATAGTTCCATAAATGTTGTATACCTTGTATTGTCCTTCTGAGTATGAAACCTCATAATTTCCCGTACTTGTTAAAGTATCAGAGGCACTTGTTTCTCCGTTTTATAATCTAGTATGCTTGCATGAGAGGCAGGGTTGCTACTATTTTGCTGTCTAGTAATGGTGGAATGCCCTTTCTGATTGGATCTGGTGATAAAAAAATTTCATCTATATAATCATTATAGCTAGGTTTATAAACATCATCTTATGTAGTGTATTTGTCTGCATACATAAGGGTTATGATAAGGGATGAGATGTGGTTGGACTAGGACTAGGTTCTCTGTTCTTATAATTCTGTTCTTGATTTTACTTAAAAAATTGGGATACATTTTGCAGGATTGGGCAGCTGAACACTGTTCTGCCCCTTTTCGTGCTCCTGAGTTGTGGGATTGTCCAAGTCAGTGCAATATCGATGAAAGAACTGATATATGGTCACTAGGATGCACATTGTACGCAATAATGTAAGTACCATTTTTAACACACAGTTTTGGCCTTCACTGTGAAGATCATAATGTGACTCATTCACCAATATCTTTACTTTGATTACTATATTGCAACTTGCTCTGTCTGGTTTCTGTTAATTTTATGGAGTAAAGTTTCCTTTTAGATCCTGTTGCATCAAATTTCCGCTAGATTTCATTGCGTTTGTGATTCTACAGAGTACCTTTACAATTACAATGTAGGAATAACCCGATAAAAAAGTGGGAAAATGAGAGAGAAATCCTACTGATTGAATATTTTTGAGTAACCGAGTAAATGGATTTTGAATGATAATATGTTTAGCAAAAAGAAACATCTTTTGTCACATCACCTATGTTGCTATTTGCAGGTATGGTGTCTCGCCCTTTGAGTATGCGTTGGGAGAATCTGGTGGAAGCCTACAATTGGCCATTGTAAATGTTCAGATAAAATGGCCAGCCGGACCAAAGCCGCCATATCCTGATACACTTCACCAATTTGTGACATGGATGCTTCAGCCTCAAGCTGCTGTTCAATCACGCATTGATGATATCATCATTCATGTTGACAAGTTGATATCCAAGTACTCTGATTAGCTCCGAACATCTATTGGCGGCCATCAAACTCAAACTTGTATGCACAGGTGTATCTTGAAGGATTTTTATACAAATTATTCTGGTCATAGACACACATTACAGTTTAGTAAATTCTGTGTTTGACAAAGGGTTATCAATCGCGCTTATTTACTTTGTCTAATACTTCGTGTAAGTTAGTATTTATATAGATAATTTTTTTGGCGATAGATGTTTTTGTGTAGTAGATTCAGTGTCATTTGTAAACGTTATGTTTTGTTTTACTAGTACTAGTCTGTTACAGTATACTGAAGTTTATATAGTAGTAAAAGGTATTGCTTGGACAATGGCATCACTCAAACTACAGTATTTTATTTTGACATAGGCTTGATTTGCAAAAGGTTTACTGATTACAAATACACACTAAGCCAAAATGAAACAGTAGGATCATTAAGGATCCTTACATAATTTACAAAACAACTCAAGTACACATTACTAAAAGCATTAGTCGTCTCTCGGATCTTGATTGGTAGAATAACCTTGCTGACGACACTGAATAGGTGTTAGCAAGGTTTCCTTACGGATGATGATGAAGTTGATATTGGGACTGTAAACACAAATTTTAAATTTCCAAATTTAGATTTAAAACAAATGCAACAAAGTGTTAATTTTAGTTTGGCTTCAAAAAAAAAAAAAAAAAGTGTTAATTTTAGTAATTTGAGAATTTCTGAGTACAATCTCTAATTTGCTCCTCTGATTCAATCTCCACTTTAGCTTTGACTTGTTTTATGGGCTGACTTGATTCTCGAACGAGGGTCGTCGAGATTTGATCACGATTGAAGATAGTTGATGCAAAACTTTGACTCGGGTTTTGATTGAGGGCCGACGAGGCTTGATCTCTATCAATGACTATTTGATGTAGAGGTTGAATTGGTAACTTGCGATGTGCTGCTTCATGTTTCAAAGTTCTTCTTTCCTTCGTGTTGAGGCTGTCGAGGCTTGATCTCTTCCACGGGTGATCTAAAATAGAACGACACGTCGAATGCTTGTTGTTCTCTGGAGAGGTTTAGAATATTTGAGAGGTTTTTCTCTGTATTTTGATGCTACTTGTTTTCCTCCTCTCTTCCCTAAATGAAATAGAGAGAGCTCTATTTATAGAGTGAGTGACTCTTAGGGTTAGGGTTTAATTTGATGTACATGGAGTTGGGCTTTTGACTTGGTAATCTTTACTCATATTCGTAGCTTAACCCATTTTAGTAGGTTTTTGCTATTAAATGAACAATTTAATTAAAATAATTAAAATGGGCTAATTTAATATATTTTACCCAAAATAATTAAATTTAATTAATAGTCAAATCAACCTAGGTCAATATATTGACTTTTGACCCGTATAAGATCCGATGTGGCACTTACATAAAAGTTTCGTACCTTTAGGGACCAAGATTGTTAGGATCGGGATCCTACTTTGGATCAATGAGGGGGGATGAGATCGAATTGATAGAATCGGATCGTAGGATCGTAAGATCCTACTTAATAACGAATAATATTATATATTATGCTATAAATTGACTTAAAAACATTTCTTTTAAGGGGTTTCAATGCTAAAAGACATTGGTTTGGTTAAGAAAGGTCGATCTTTATTTAGCTTTGTCTGTATGGTAGTTAGAAGATTAATAACACAAGTTTAAATTAATAAATTATGTGCAAATTTGTCAAGAATGAGACCTTAACTATGACAATTGCAAGTTGTCAATTGATAAAATCGTATTAATGTCTCGGATTCGCTAATTTATTAGCGATAATTATTGAATACATTAAATTTAGGTGCATATAACCTAATGAGTAATAAAAAAATATGTCAAAATAAATCAAAGTCTCATATTATAGTAAAATGTTGGATCGGATCGTAGGATCGTAATAAAATCGTAGGATCGTGTTGAGATCCTACCACCCATAATTAATATTGGAGTAGGATCGTAAGATCCTACAAACTTTAAGATCCTACCAAAGATCCGGATCGATCTCACAATTTTAGATCGTACAATCTAAGATCCGGATCGGGATTTTTACAAAACAATGAGATGCTCCCTTGAAATCTTGTGGAACTTGGAAGGGATATTCATGTGAATGAATACTCAAGATATGTAAAGTGGATTTATTTCATACTTATAGGTTATAATATAATACACTTCCGAAATATTAAAATTGAGTAAATAAGAATTTTATTTTTAGAATTTATTAGTCTTGTTAAAATAAACTGAATATTAACTAAAATAAGTAAAATTTAGGTTAACAAAAACAAACCCTAAATATAAATTAGGTTAATAAAACAAATTTTAAAATTTATTTGAAAAAAATAAACCTTAAATTGACCTTGAACCCAAACCCGAACCATACCCTTCGTTCAATCTAGCCAACCCAAATGTAAAACCTCCCTCCTAAAACCAACCTCTCAAGTGAATGAAACAAATCAAACAATAAAAAAAAAAAGTTCACCAACGACAAACGGCAAGCAGAGAGAACAGGCAAATACGGCACACCAAGACCACAACACCTTCAACAACTCATCACCCAATTCCAAAACTCCACTATTTCCAACGAATCCAAAGAAAAAATCGTCGCTAATCTCGCTAACTTCTCCTACGATCCTTACAACTACGCCATTCTTCGTGACCTCAACGTTTTAGAGCTTTTCATCGACTGCTTAACTGAGCCTAATGAACGTCTCATTGAGTTCGCTGTCGGCGGAATCTGCAACGCCGTTGCTGACCCACAAAATGCTAAGATAGTTTGTGATTGCGGCGGTGTTGCGGCGTTGATTGACTGTCTTTCGAGTCCGGTGAGGAATACGGTCAAGTATGCGATTGCGGGGTTGTATTATTTTGTTAATTTGGTTGATTTGAAAGAGAAGGAAAATGTGGTGGATTTGATTAGTAAGTATTCTCAGGTTGATGGGTTTGCTAATCTTGCTCAGGCTTTGTTGGACAAGATTTCGGAAACATGAATTTCATGTTGAGGTAAATTTTTATCCCTCTTTTACTATTTGGTAGTAATTTCAATGGTTTTATATTGTGTTGAAAGTTTGATTTTGGATTTGAATTTTGTTATAGTTAGTTGAAATTTATGATGATTTTGTGGGTTTAGGATGTTTGAAATTGTGGGATTTTTGTGGGAAGTTTGATGGTGTTGATTTGGTTGATTTCTTTGTGAATTTGATTTCTGGGTATGAATAATTAGGGCTTGTACGTTAACGGTAAAGTAAACCTGATTAGTTTAAGATCGTAAGACAGCTTGGTAAAGGTGGCTTTGCTTATGTCTTTTTGGTCAAAGAAGTTGTTACCGACGCTTCTGCTGCTTCTGGGGGTCTTTCTAATAAGCTTAAAGATCCTTCTTTTCTCTCAGGTTTCTTTCAATCTACTCAATTTTAATTCTTTGCATGTTTAATTGTGATCTTATTCTGAAATGGGGTTTTGGAGGTTGTGGGTGATATTACTTTTGTTTGTGTCAATTGTGTGATTGTAAAGAGAGTCGCGAAGGACAATGATGTAGACGGGATGCGATTCGATCCCATCTCTTGGGTACCACCCCCGAGACTTTAATTAAGGGATTGTGTGAGGTTGATATTGTATGAATTATGGGATTTTGGGGGAGTTTGCTAATTTTTTATTGATTTGAGTTTTGATTTGTGGGTTTATGATTTATGAGGAATTTTGATCTTAATATGGTTAACAATGTACGAGTTGTGTTGAAAGTGTGATTATTTATTATTTTTTGTCTGTTTGATTTTGATTTCTTGATATGTGATGTAAATTGGAAATGAGCTTTGTTTTAGATGATGGGTCTTATGCTATGAAGAAAGTATTGATTCAAAACAACGAGCAGCTGGACTTGGTGAGGGAGGAGATCCGTGTTTCCTCCTTGTTTACACATCCCAATCTGCTTCCCCTTCTTGATCATGCTATCATCAAAGTCAAGGTAATTGACTGCGTTTAGGTCCTTCGCTTTTCCCCTCCCTTGAGCTTTATATATGTTATTAATCCGGAATACAAGGTGTTGAAACTTGAAAGCATGTATGCATGTATATAAATAAGTAAAGTAAAGTATTTTGAAACCACAATTAATTATAAATCCAGTGTAAGGTTTTTCCAATACTTCCTGGAAGCTGCTTTAATCATGTTTGGAAATCGTAATCATGTTTGGAAATCGGAATAGAGTTGGGGAATTCATCATATCTATTGAGCTAGTAGGACTGTTGTTTGGGTAGAAAATGTATTCATTTATATTGTTTAGGAATGGATTTTGTGTGAGTCAATTAATCCTTTGCCAACTGCAACCTTTATAGAGATGCCTCAGGGATGCCAAACTCTATGACACTTATTTTAGTCTTATCTTACTTCTATGCAATTATGCATGGTAACTGTTCCAGAAATTATTCATTAGTGATTCTTCTCTAACCCGTAGACTGCAAAAGTTCTTAATGCTCGTCATCCAAGTTTTGTTGTGCTCTTTTAGTTCTTTTAGTATTACTTGTTCGTCTCTGAAGGAAAACTAATTAAATGTCCGACTATCTGAGAGGTGCTATCTTACGACCCCCTCCTCCTCTCAGTCTCTCTTTATCTTTCGTGGGGTTGTTTGCTCAAAAATAGAATTTATGGGAGTTACTATCGTGTAGTAAACAGGGTTACAGGGTTGTGATCTATTGCCCTCAGATTTAATGTCTGTCATGTGGGATTTAAGAGGAGAAAACATTGGCTCATTGATAGACTAAATTTTCTGGCTTCTTTTAACATCATTTGATGATCTTATCTTATACTCATTCCTTCCTTGGCAGGAGCAGTTGGGCCTGAAAATTTTTATATAGTCATAGGATAAGCACTCTACCCTCTTCAACTCCATTTTTTTCTGTCAAAATTTACATCTATAATCACATCTCAAGTCATGGTTTTACTTTTTTCTACATGTTAGGTCATGATGGTCAGAGTTTTGAACTTCTTGTAATATTTCTATTTTGATTATGGGAACTAATAAATCAAGAATTCCAAGATTCATTTCCTGGACTACGGTGACAGTTTTCTCTTTTAACAAACTGTGAAGTGTTTTCGGGTTTAGAAAGTAACAATCCATATGTAAATCAATGTTGATGTCCATTTCTAGTGTTGTTTCAGAAATTAAAAAGGACGTCTCTATCTTTGGCTAGTGCATGTTGATATGCTTGAGAATTCAAACTTAAAAAGTGTTTTCTTAAACAAATATACGAAGTATAATGCCATCAGTGGGATTGCTTGTTTATTAAATTATTATAGGTTTAATTGTAGGGACTGTTCTGTTCCCTTGATAATTACTAATTGTGTAACTTTTGAG